TGGCAGCATATACTATTGGTTACCTCTTGTTTACGATTAGAGCAAGCATGTCAAACATGCGGCCCACAGTGAAAATATTTGCGGCCCGTCTGCCCTGGGGCCGCTTTCAGCTGTGGATGTGACCAGCAAGACAGGAAAAATATTTCCTGATTCTTGCACTCCCGGTTACAAGAGGGCAGAGTGATTGTGTGTCTGCTGAGCAGACCACAGCAGCCACTCCACCTTTCCTACTGCTTGCAGTCAGGGACGTATTTGCCGCGAGGCAAACAAGGCATTTGCCTTGGGCGGCACTTTCCAGGGGCGGCGAAAAACACCCAGGCAAATAACTTGTTAGCCTGGCGGCATTCAGCTAAGTAGAAATCCATGCGGGCGGGCTGGTGGCGCTGGCGAGGGAGCACTGATTTGTGCGTCATATACTGGCTCCCGGCATCAATCTGCGGCACGTGAGGGAGCTGAGCAGAGACAGCTCACTAATCAGTGCTCCCTCGCCAGCACCACCCGCCTGGATTTCTACTTAGCCGCCCAAGTGCCTGCATCCCTCCCTGCAAGAAGACCCACTGGACCCCAGGTAAAAAAACATCTAAAATAGAAAAAGTTATCTTTATTAATTAATGTTGGGGAGAGGGGAGTCTATCAGTGTGTGTGAGTGATTGTGTGTCTTGCTGTCAGTGTGTGTATGTCAGCGTGTGTCTGAGTGATTGTGTGTGTCTGGCTGTCAGCGTGTGTGTGTGATTGATTGTGTGTGTGTATGTCTGTCAGTGTGTATCTGAGTGATTGTGCGTGCGTCTGTCAGTGAGAGTGTGCGTCTTTCAGTGAGTGTGCATCTGTCAGTGAGTGTCCAAGTAATAGTGTATGTCTGTCTATCAGTGAGTGTATGTCATTGTTTGTCAGTGTATATAAGAGTGTGTGTCTGTCAATGAGTGTATGCGTCTGTCAGTCAAAGTGCGGCCTTGACAGGAAGGGGTGGGGAAAATTTTAATTAGAAGGGAGGGTGCCCGGGCTGGAGCTGGAATTGAAGGACGGACAGCAAATTGTAAGGTAGTAGAAAAGGGGCTTTGGGGGGGGGAGCAGTGTATTAATTTGAGGAGAGGCACGATTAATTTGAGGGAGGGAGGGCCAGTGTGTTAAATTGGGGAGGCAGTGCAGAGTGGTGGTAGTAGTGGGGGGGTAGTGTATTAATTTAAGAGAGGGAAGGGGCAGTGTATTAACCTGGGGGAGGGAGGGTGCAGTATATTAATTTGGGGAAGTCAGGGGGCCATTGTATTAAATTGGGGAAGGGGGGGCAGTGTATTTATTTGAGGGAGGGAGGGGGCCAGTGTATTAGAGTGGTAGGGGCAGTGTGTTAAATTGGGGGAAGGGAAGTGTATTAAAGTAGAGTGGTGGGAGTGGGGGCAGTCTGGAGTGGATGGAGGAGGGGCAGTTTATTAGATTAAGGGGCAATGTATTAGATATGGTGAAGGGGGCAGTGTGTTGGAATGGGGGCAGTGGGCAGTGTATTAGATTGGGTCTGCATGGAGATGCTGATTGGCCGCACACCTTTTTGCCAAACATGCACAATAGCCTCCCAATGTTTTCTGTGGGAAAGCATTGGATTGGCTGAGATCATCAAGTTTGATGATCTCAACCAAAGTGAAGAACACACTCCTAGAACTTCAAAATAAACAAGATAACATCATTTGGTTTTTGTTTTTTTACAGCTGTGCAACAGCATTCATTCACCATTTCAGTCCCATTACCAAACATGTTTTAATATGTCAAGGTAGTTGGACTGAAACGTTGTTTATATGCAAATGCATTTTTTTTATTTTTTATAAATTCACTCTTTAGTTTATTTTGAAGCCCTACAAGCGCGAGCATGTCCAGTGCCAGTCTAGGCAACTTTTTGTTTATACTGTACTTTTCTAAATAAACCTACATTTCAATGGAAACTGAAGTTTGTTTGTTTTTTGCGCCCCACATAAACGTAAACCTTGTTTAAACTAAGTGGACAATATGCACCGGCATTCCATTATCCTAATGGTGTCAGGTATCAGGGTAGCCCACAAAAACCTCCCTCAATAATCATAGAAAATACATATAATACTGCACTCAAATATAGACATTAAATAAAGATAATTATTACTTTATATTAAAAGTTAAATAAGTATGGTGATATGACAAAAAAATGAAACAAATCATCTCATATAGTTACATGAAAATTCTGCAACACCTTAGGTGATATACCCTAACAGACAAAGGAATAAAATTATACCCAATAGATTTACCTCTATACAACTAGAGTAACACTAGTGTTGCCATGTAGCTCTAATTTAATGATAGATCCTGTACAATTGACCATCATCACCTGGGTCAAAAGAAAAACAAGCAGAAAAAATACTATAAAACAAAAAAGTGTGAAAAAAATGAATGAAAAAGGAAAAAACTTGAAAAATATATAGCAAAAGTATATATAATCCTAGTGTGTACACACTCCAGTTGTTCCAAATTATTAAATATATGTGCAGTTGGATTTGGTTAGATCTCACCACTCCTGAGTGCAGTATGCCTTTGCTTTGCTGTGCTGTAATGTCAGGGATGGTCCTTATGATGTTAAGATCGGTTCCAAAAGATGTAGTTAGATTACTCCAACACATATAAATGTTGCAGATATAGAGGTCCATAAAAATGGGTATACTCCTGGTTGTAGTCGACCTGGGTAATCAAGGGGAAGCCTGGGCTGCGCGCTCGGGACTGTGTCCGTCCCTACGATGGCCCTGGTAAACCTTGTTTAGTTGGCCCGTCTTATCCTTTGAGTTTGACATGCTTGGATTAGAGTGTAAGACACAAAAATTTTCACGGAACATTCACTATTCGTATTTGCATTTTATTTTCTTTCAGAATATTGCATTCTTTAACATCCGGACACGAGTAAAAGTTCTGCCTCTCTCCTACTTCAAGGCACATACAGATACAAACACTGACATAAATAGAGATACAGATACATCGAATCACACAAACAAAAATAAAAACACTGACAAAAGAAACAAGCACTGATACACATGCAGATGCACAGACTCAAACAATGACACTCACACAGTAACATACATACACTGACACATGCAGATACAGAGAAACAGATATAAACACTAATGCATACAGATGAAGACACAGTTGCAATCACTAACACACATGCAGATACAGACACAAACACTGACACACATGCAGATAGACAGATACACACTGCTGTACAAACATTGCCACACATGCAGACACAGATACACACACACGAAGATACTAACACACATATTTATACAGACAAACATATACAAACATTGCCACACATGCAGAAACACAGATGCACACGCAGGTTAACAGATACAGTTGCACAGACACACTGAAATACACAACACACATACAGCTGTAGAGTTACACAGACACACTGACACACATACGGCTGTAGAGACATACAGACACGCATACAGATACACACGCTGACACACATGCAGATACATACAGGTACACAATGTGTAACAAGCCACTGGGGTCGTGTTCATTCCTGGAACTGATATTCTTATTATATTTTGAATGGTCATGCAACCAAAAAAAAAAAAAAATAGACAAAAAGAAAAATGAGTACACAGAAAAAAAAAAATAATGTAGTCCCAATAGTTACAAATGTTTGCACAAGAATCAACAGAAATATTGCATAGCCTAAGGAAATTATGGTTACTTCTCACCACTTCTACATGGCGTCAGTACTGTCCATAAAGTCCTTTAATGCAGCAGTGATAGCTGTATTGGAAGTGTCCAAAGGCTTGGTGGTGAGGCTTAGTCCTGGTATTTTATCAACGTATGGCTGTGGTCGGTAATCGGGGCAGCTCAATAAGATACCGGGGCTACGCGCTTAGGACCTCTGCCGTCCCTTCAAGGGCCCAGGATACAAACACCGACACACATGCAGATAGACACACACAGATGCAAACACTGACACACATACAGAGTAAAAACACAGAAACACAATAGGTGGCGCACTCAACATGCAATAAAAAGTGAAGGTGCAAGATTAATTAATACCCAATTGGATTTTATTTTCTTTGCAAATGGATTTATTAGAGCTTGTCTCAAACTGGCTCAGGTAAAAGCGTATTGGAAGTGGTGATGGTTATCCAATGCTCACTCCGGAAAATAACCTCTCCATGAACATGCCAACCTCTTAGTCGTGATTTAAATGGAGCAGTTACTCTGTCTCCAAATTCTCTCCTCGGTCCCTCCGCTCCCAGCGAATCAGCCAGCTCTGCACGTCCCACACGGATGACACCACTATGAACGGACCCAGGAATTACAGTACAAACCATACAGTAAAAACCAAAGAAAAAAATTACCTGCGCTCTTCCCAAATCCCTATGTATATTTAAACAAATGGAGGTTATTTAGTTACTCCAATGGCCATGAAAGGGAATGCCCACCTGCCACGTCACACTTCTTAGGTGGGTCCTACACGGACTATTCATCTTGCTTTCTTGAATTATGTAGAGCAACAGACTGACCACATCTCTAAGTCTACCAGATCCTACAGTAATCCATCTGCCATTCCTAGGACGTCTCTATGGCAGTGGCTTTGCAACAGTTCCAGCCTTAATTTTAACAGATAATTTACAAATCTCAGACTTCAAAAATACAATCTCCAGCTGCAATATAGAGAACTGTCTACAGAATAGACAGAATCCAAGTCTCCAAAAAGTGGAACGTGAAACAAATGCATAACTGTTACCCTGAACTAAGTCTGCCATTTTCAGGAGGAGAGTAATTTAAATAAAACTCATCTTACCTTTTTTTCAGATTATCTTTAGTTTATCTTCAGAATATCTCCGAGCACACACTTTAAAGCAGCACTAGAGACTTATATAACTTAGACCCTTTTATAACTCATTAAAGCACCGTCCAATTACGTCATAAGAGTTTTGTTTAGTAAACTACCAGACCTTCTAACAATTGATTTTTCAGTCTCACATAATGTCATGATTTATTTGGTTTCAGTAGAGTCTGTGTGTCAATGTACATGCTGTATATCCAAGATCAGCTACAAGAAAGAGGCAGCATAAATGACTGCAGTGTTCCATTTGTGACAGTGAAGCTACAGAATGCTCCCAGTCCACTGAGCAAACAGAACTGAATTATGCCAATTGAGACATCATAAACTATGAGACTAAATTTCCAGTATGCTGTGGAAGTCTTCAGAGAACCTAGAGAAGTCTGTTTGAGTGCAGTGCGTCTATATACACTCCAGGATGGTACTAGCACTTCATCTTTACGGTCATTAATTCAACCCTCTTCCATAACCCATATGCCAAAGGAAGGTCAGTGTAGACAGACACTTTCTTTCCACATTTTATGTATTTCACTTCATTAACTTTTTTGATTAACTTGATAAGGCCTGTTTGTGCAATTAGCACCATGCTGGTTGGACAGTAGATCTTGTCAAGATAGCTACCAAGAGAGCAGCTTCATGATCACTAAAGACTGACCACTCATCTACAGCATAGGCATTCTCTGGCCTCATAAGTTAATGTGCCCAATCTAATATCTGTTCTGTGGTTTGGAGAAGAACCCACATACCTATCATTCAGACCCATCAACTAGCATTTGCACTTGCAGAGCCTGCCCCAGTATCATACTATGGCAGTGATCCGATGCCTGTAAGCCCTTATTTGTTGCCAAATGTTACTAAGTTCTACGCGAAGTCCCCCCGCATTTTCTCTATCACATAAGCATTTTAAAGTAATGTGACTTACTTTTATGGAATTAGAGCAGACTTCCCCAAACTCTGGCCCTCCAGATGTTGCTGAACTACAACTCCCATGATTCTATGAATGAAATAGCTAGGCTGAGAATTATGGGAGTTGTAGTTCAGCAACATCTGGAGGGCTGGAGTTTGGGGAAGCCTGGATTAGAGGATCAGAGATATTTGCCATTGCTGAGGGATGCCCACCTCAGCTGCTGCTCTTTCTTTACCTGCTTAATTCTAGGCAAATACTTAGCTTACATCCCTCTGCCCTTGCCCCCACCACCAATTTTTTTTTTTTTCTTTCTTCCTGAGAGTCTCTATTCTATTGCATCCAACATTTGGACACAATTCTTATCAATACCAGTCAGATTGGCTCTTTAAACCCTCTTAAAGCAAAGAAACTTGCTCATTGCAAAACCATCTGTAGAGGCTGCTGTGGTTCTGTAGGGTTTTCAAATGTTGTACATGTTTAAGAGTGCCGACATTGGCACCAGGAGCTGGAGAATAAAATCAAGATAGCGCCTTGAGCAGGTGATGCACCAAGTATGTATAACTAAACCTCAGCTTTACTAAATCCCCCTGCCCCCATTACCCTCCCAGGTACCACGCACCATGTGGCAATATCATCGGGGCAAAATATGCCCATCTCCTCCTTAAGGAGGGTCCAAATGGGGTTGGGGATGAATGCTCCTCTCTGACCGGGACAGGCTGGCGGGGGGATGGAGGTGCTTTCGAGTTATCTAGGCTAATCACGTTCTTACTTTGCTCTTGAAACACGAGTAGTTAGAATTTTTGTATTAAACAGTGTTACATTATACTAGAAATACTTTAATAGACCGCAATAGACCTGTGCGACCCACGAATGGTTGTTGATTTGCACTTGCATGTCTGTGAATGTTGCACTGGATGCTTTACTTTACGACCAATAAAAACCCTTATAAAAAAAAAAATAAAAAAAATGCCCATATAAAATAAGTTTGTTTTTTTTTCTCCACAAAAATACAAACAGGATATTTCTAATTTCATGATTACACACCCCCAAAAAAAAAAAAAAAAAAGAAGGACACAATGGGAAAGCATCAAGAATTGGAAACTTTAATAGTAAATGTAGATAGAAAGAAAAAAAAAAAAAAAAACACAACACACGCTACACAATGGTTCTTTACTACCATACACAAAAAACAAATGAACAAACAAGTAACATCAACAATCAGATCAACCGTGGACATAAGAATTCTGCAATCATGGTTATTTTAACAGCAACTCAAAATCATGCTTGCACTAGTTGTAATAGCCTATTTAGAAATCCTTAAAAATAACTTACCTGTGTCAATATAAATTGAACATCTAGAATTAGCATGGCAAACCACCACATAATCAGTCTAAAGTAAACAGTAGTTCTACTGCAGTGGTTTCCCAATCCATCCTTCAAGGCACACAGAGAGACAATAATGTAGATATTTCAGCTTATATTCCAACGGGGATACGGACATAAACTGGACCAAATCTCCTGAGGACAGAGGTAGAAACCACTGTTTTAGAGCAACTGCAAAAGGCATTTATGCCACACAAGCCTCAACAGTGCAGTGTAAATGGTGACCCACTGAATGGGCAACTAACATAGGGCTAGTATGTATTCATAGGCACAGAGACGGGGAGAAAAAAAAATATATAAAAATTATATCCACATATATTCACAATTGCTTATAGTCCCTAGAGTTTTTAAATTTATACATGCACCAGTACATTACATTCAGGCACATCAGAGTATAAACATTTTATGAAATTGTTGGAGTGTGCCTAGCTTGTCACACAGAATAAAATGGATATTTCAGAAAGCAGTATGCACTACACTGCAGTCAATAAGAACTCTGAAAAAAAAAAAAAAAAACTCTTCCGTAGCAGGAGACCATCCTTTAACTTTCAGACCAATTTCCAGATCCTGCAGTGTAGTAGATATTATCATCACTTTTTCACAGCTTTTCTCTAAAGTCATTGCTGTAAAGAAATAAATATTTTATAGTCCTTCGAATTAAAGTTTGAAGCATCGCCATTAGGAAGGAGGATAATCTTCCCCTCGTATTGCCCGGTACTTGGCCATATCTTCTGGAAAGACCTTACTCAGTTCTTGAATCAAAAGGCTTTTGAATTTCTGTTTAACAGAGAAAGGGGATTAAAGTTGACAATAAAATCTTTTTATTTTTTATTTTTTTCTATAACAAATAAAGCATTAAAAAGGAACACAAACATTAGGGATACAAACCTGTTTTCCTAACGCTATAGTGCTTGTCACTAGTTACAGGTGATACTCGAAAAATTAGAATATGATGCAAAAGTTCATTTATTTCAGTAATGCAACGTAAAAGGGGAAACGAATATATGAGATAGACACATTACATGCAAAGCAAGATAGTTCAAGCCGTGATTTGTCATGTGCGATGATTATGGCTTATCACGTGATTATACCACACACCCAAAACTCGCAGAGCATATTCAAGTAGCCTAACTGGCCATGTGATACAATTCACTCAACTTCTACAGATACTTTATATAATCATTCATATACTAGCTTCTATTACAATACAAACCACTAGTAGCTATTTAAAGCCACTTCAATTAATGTAGTCAACAGTATTATTTTTTTATTTTTTAAATCAAGGTACTGAATCATCTAAACATTAAGCCATATTCCCTCATACCTTATTCAGTTTACATTGCATTATCACCTTTTCTAGTCTTCCATCTGGCTACCCATGTACCCTGGAAAGTAAATTTTCTCCCACAGCTTGATATGTCACCTGCATAGCTACATAGCAGATGCGTTTCTCATTCAGCACAGACTGAATCCTAGGTCTCTACTAAAAACAAACACTGAATTCTCCAAAAACCTAATGACCCTTGTTTTTTTAAAAGATACAATTTAGTTTTACAAATAATGCAGTTAAACCTGACAACTTATTTAGCCATCAAATCAGAGTTAGAAATGAACATGCAGTCTGCATGGCACTAAAGACCCCTAAATGATATCCTGACGCTTAGAAAACGTAGAACAGCCAAGAAACCTGCCGTCTATTTGCTTATTATGAAAGCTACAAATGCATGCTGCTGCCAGATAAAGAGAACACACTATACAATGATTCAAAAAGCAATTTAAATCAACAATCCATGCAGCACCAATCAAGACTGAGTAATAGACTATGCTATTGGTATGAGGCAGCACAAGAATGACATTAAGGATGTTTGTTTCTTTTCATTGTTATTTTTTGGCCTTCTGTTCTTGCGAAAAGGTTACAAGATAGGACTAAAATGTTATGCTCAGTCAAGCTTGAAGTTTAAAATTTGCAAAACAGCATCTTGTGATTCTTTTTTACAAATAACATGGGCTAAAACAGGACCAACTAAAGTCTGAAGTTCAGCATATGACAATCTAAATAGGAGGCAATAGCACAGAGCCAAGACATTTGTGTAGTCATATTACAAGCAATATAGTGATACTCAAGGCACCATTACATTTTGTGCAAAACTTTGATGGATCTTTTAGTAGGAGATGGTCTGATTCTAATCCTCCTTTAGTGGCTACCTCTTCAAAAACAAAGTGGCTGAGCTGACAATACTTCAAAATTGTGCTTTCCAGTAACAATTTAATTGAACACTAACAAGGACTGGCTTTTCAAAGAACTGCACCTTGAGCATAATCAGTATTTACATGCATTGGTGTTATAGAACAACAACTTTTCAGATTAGTTTAACAATTTATCTGAAGTCACCAGGGGGCATGCATGCGTACATTGAGCCAGCAAATGGAGGAAGAGGGAATTTTAATAATAAAAAAATTTAAAAAATAAATTAAAATAAAAAATAAAAGTTACCAGCAATGGAAGGGGTGCCCTGCATGCAAGGGAAAATATTATGTCTGTTGTCAGTGTGTTGTTGACAGACATAAAATATACACAGGATTGACAGTAGGCAACCTAGAACAGAGTTTCAAGCTGCAAAAGTCACTTGAGCCAGATGTGTTTGGATGTGCAACATTTCAAACATAAACACTGCACATCCAGACTCCTACCACCATGACCACTTCAAATTACTGAAGTGGTGATGGCGGTTGGAGTAATCCTTTAAAGCAGGGGTGTCCAAATGGTAGATCCCCAGCGGTTTTAGAACTACTATTCCCATGATGCCTTTAAAATGCTGTAGTTTTAAAGCATCTGGGGATCTAACTTTTGAGCAACCCTGCATTAAAGGGTTAGTCGTTTGGGTCATGCTTTGCCAGTTGTGATTTTCACTGCTTCAATTTAATATTTTTGGATATGATTTTCAAACATAATTTTAAAAGTTAATGCAAATATATTAAATCTCTTGAAAATAATATCCAAAAATATTAAGACCCATAAAAGTATAGGTGTATAATAGCATTTTCCCATCTATGCAAGTGTTTTAATCAAATCTAATAAACATACATTAAAATTTTCACTCTAGGATAAACTCCACACATTCAGATTTCAGTAACATGCTGGAAAATAAAGGAACACTATAGGGTCAGAAATTCAAACAGTTGTGTATTCTGGTTTTGTGCTGCCCTAAACATGACAAAACTCAGGCACCCCCCTACACCCCTTCTAAATTTCACTTCCTCAAACACGCTCTTTGTCTAACACACGCCTTTACTGATGCATACACTGACATACACTCACTGACAGATACACACAGTCATTGTCACACACATTGTTTATCCAACACACACTTTCACTGAAACATACACACTCACTGAGACATGCACACTCACATTCACCAACAGATACACAGACGCACACTCACTCAGTGTCAGACACACACACACCCTCGCTATCAGACACACACACACACACAAACAAAACACACTAATTTTTTTTTTTATTATTTAGTGATACTGGAGCCGGAGTGATGTCATATTCCCCCCCCCCCCAAAGTGCCACCCAAGGCAAAAGCCTTGTCAGCCTTGCGGTAAATACACCACTGTAGAAATGTGTATTTCTGACCCTATCATGTTAAAAACCCACTTGTCCTCCTTAAAGTTTAAAAACTCCCTTTTAATCCAGCTCCACGTGGATCAGCTGGTGCCAACTCTGTCCAAGTTCCACCCCTTAGCTGAGATCAAAACGGAGGATCTCATCCAATGCTTTTCCATAGGAAACCATTGAGAAGCTAAAGCACACGTGTGGCAAAATGCTGCGCTGCGCCAATCAGCATCTCCTCATAGAGATGCACTGAATCAATGCATCTCTATGGGGAATGTTCAGCATCTCCAAGCCGAGCATCTGAGTGAAGGCTACTGGTGGTGTTCCTAGTCAGGAATGCAAAGCTACCTTTTCAGTGTTTAGTGCAAAAAGCCTGCAGGGACAAACTATAATCACTAGAACAAGTACATTGAAGCTCTGCTTGTACATTCTGCTTCATATGATAGCAAGACTTTGAATTTTTTTATTTTTTTTTAGAGGCCCTATAAAAAGACTGACCTTCATGGTATCAATTTTTCCTTTAACTTGTTCATTTTTCGCCAAAGCCCTCTCCAAACATTCTTTAGTATAGAGTTGAGGATTCCGACCTTGATCTATATAACTTGGGGGGGGGGAAAAAAAAAATGTATGTCATTAATTACTTCAGTTGCATTATTTTGTTGTTCATAAATAGTTTGCCAAGCCTACATTCTAGCACCTTATTGATGATCAATGTTTGGGTTATAATGTTGCCTTAACAGGGTATGCAAGACATTGAAAGTCTTATGAGCCTGCAGGGAGGCTTTACAGTAATTTGTTTCTGAAGGTGCACTTCAATTCATTTGTTGGGGCACCATGCCAAAGATGTCAGACACCAATTGCAATAGAACAGAAGTGAGAATGTCTTACACCTGTGTACCAGACTACATTTACAGACTACCGACCGTCAGAGGTCACATAGAATAGATATATGCAACAAGGATGGGGGCAACCTCTGCATAGGAGTATCAGTTCATATTATTGCTGAAAGACTCGGAAATTAAGCAGTCTGGCAATAACCAATTGGCTGTTTGCCAGCACTGGTGGAAAAATAAAATGTTGACCCGGTTTTCAGCGGCCTCAGGACAGCATATAAAATAAATTCAGTTTTTCAACTGATAATTTATTACATAGACATGTAGATGGATTCATACTTTCCCCTTTTACACATTTTCACATTAAGGAGACATGTTTAATCACCCAAACTACAGCAAGCTGTAGTGGTTATGATGCCAGGAAACTGGCACTATCCTATCGTTAAAGGAACACTCCAAACCTCTTGAGCGTTTAAAGCTAGAGGGACACTTAACCTTGAATTTATAAAAGTGCTGATTTTAAGATAAATCAACACCTTATAACCACCTTCATTAAGACCACCTGTCAACCAGAAAGCAAGGGAAGCATTTCCTTCCTTAGTAGTATCATAGTGAAGCACTGCCAGCAAATTACACTAATTGCTCTGCATGTGCTTTGATACCTAACACTAATTGCTCTGCATGTGCTTTGATACCTAATGCTTCTCTAAGTGCCCTCTCTCTGCTGGTTTAGAGGCAAGTAATTTTATTAGACTTGGAGCCTTCAAACAGTAGGAAGACAAATTTTTACTCTCCGTAAATGCTTTTTTTTTTTTTCTTAATATGGTGGCAGTACGTACGTATAAGTTGTGATTCCAAATTGGGACAAGCATCTGAAAGATAGGTAATTTAAAAAAACAAAAACACTCCCTTCCCTTTACCCTATAAAGGGCTTCCCCGGCAAACTCACCTCAGTCGTAGCAAGAATACATACCTAAGCCACACACTGAGGAAAATTGTAATTTAGATTTTGTACTGCCACCATATTTAAAAAAAAAAAAAAAAAAAAGAAATTAACAGAGTAAAAATTTTTGTGGTGGCAGTACGTATGGGATATAGCAAGATCCCCAATTGGGTGGGCCTTATGCCTAAACAGCTTGAAGTACCTACGCCTTAGCGCAATTTTAGAGTCAGAGTACATCTAGCCTGAAAATGCCTGATGTTTTTTTAAAGTGCTAAAAGCTGACCAAGAAGCAGCCATGCTGATTACTTCGGGTGAAGCAAGAGCTCTCTCTGCGCAGAGAAAGATGCTGTCGAATCAAAATTACTGAAGCATAAGCCATTATGATTGCCAAAAAAAATAAAAATAGAATATGCCATCTAGTTCCAGCGGGGAGGTAGCAAAATTACAGATGAATGAGCTGATTAACGGCTCTAATTGATAACTCTGGAAGAACTGAAGTTTTAAGATAAAACAACTTTCACCCTGGTAGAATATAAGAAATTCCACTGAAGACGATATATCCTGAAGCTCGCTTACTCTCTTGGCAGAGGTAACGGCCACTAAGAATGCTGGTTAAGCTTTAGCATATTAAAAAGGAACCACCTCCAAAGTAAAAGGGGACCTGACAGACTGAGGAAAGATCCCAGGAGGAAACAGAACTTCCTGGGTGGCCTAAGAAGCCCATTGCTTTAACTGAGCTATCCACATTAGTATAGAAATGCAGGATTACACCTCCAAGCTTCTTGGCGTCCAAAACGCCTACCCACGTCGGACCTTTTTCTACTTGTCTTGAGGCAGAGCTTTTTTCCTTTTTCGATATTGGTTATAAAAAGATACCCCTTTCCCTAACGGGAGTAAACAGGGGACCGAAAAGGACGCAGATCTGCCGTCCAAGCTTAAGCTACAAGAATATAAGGGAAACAGCAGATCAACCCACGGTCTTGGCCGACATTGTCAACTTTTATTAGTCAAATCCATCTAAAGTATGTGACAATAACAAAATCAGGAAACTGACAAGCTGCTTATCAAGAGACTTAAGTTTTGGACACCGCTGCACCTGCCAGCAAAGACCCATACTCTTGTCTCTGCGGAATATCTCAGGCAGAGCAGCTGATTAAATTCTTACAGATAATCAAATAGTCTAAGATAGGAATGATTGCATATTCTCTGCTTAAAGGGACACTATAGTCACCAGAACAACTATAGCTTATTGAATTTGTTCTGGTGAGTAGAATCATTACCTTCAGGCTTTTTGCTGTAAACACTGTCTTTTTTTCTTAATTACCTATCTTGCAGATGCTTGTTCCATACGTACTGCCACCATATGTCAGAAAAAAAAAAAAAAAAGGAAAAAAAAAAAATATATATATATATATATATATATATATATATATCTCTATCTCTATCTCTAACACTAGAATATTCCTTTAAGAGTCAAACATTGTAAAGAACAGTGGAATATATTAAACCTATATATAAAATAAATACATATAAAAAATAAATAAAATAAACTTACTCAAATACTTCTAAGGGCACAGTGATATCGTGGAGTTGCTGTCGACATTTATCAATATCTTGCAAGCCAGTGATCATGAAATTCCTGTAAAAGATAAAGATAATTCACATTTGTTCTGCAACTTATTTAACACATACCTAAGTAGCTAGCTTATATCTAGCCTATGAAAATGCTGTCAGTACGTGCTTCCAGAATGACCAGCTGCCACCCAGAAACATGTATAACACAACATGACATGTATGTGCAACTGGTCTACATTCAAGAATGTATACATTTTATTAATTTCAAATATTAACCCATTCACGACTACTGACGGTTCAGGACAGTCATCGGAAAAATCCCCTTGAGGACCGGTGTCTGTCCTGAACCGTCATAACGGTAATATGTACTTACCCGATCGCAGTCGTTCCACCGACGGCAATCAGCATTGCTCCCGGTGTGGCAGTCTCCCCGCGGCAAATTAGGAACCCGCGGCCACATGGTCACAATAGGTGTCCAAGTGTCTGCCTGCAGGGGGACTGCCTGTGCTGACAGGCTGTCTGCTTGCATGTGTAAAATAATTTTTTTTTTTAAAGTTTATAAAAATAGTGATAAGTGTATTTTTATATACATATATTAATATAAAAATACTTATAATTAAAATACACACACAAAAATACAAATAAAAACCGAAAATACTAAAATATAAATATATATATATACACACACACACACATAAATGTTATTCTAACTGTATTTTGATAATACACTGCTCAAAAAAAAATAAAGGGAACACAAAAACAACATCTTCGATCTGAATGAATTAAATATTCTTCTGAAATACTTTGTTCTTTACATAGTTTAATGTGCTGACAACAAAATCGAAACAAAAATTAAAAAATGGAAATCAAATTTTTCAACCCATGGAGGTCTGGATTTGGAGTCACACTCAAAATTAAAGTGGAAAAAACACACTACAGGCTGAATTAACTTTGATGTAATGTCCTTAAAACAAGTCAAAATGAGGCTCAGTAGTGTGTGTGGCCTCCATGTGCCTGTATGACCTCTCTACAACGCCTGTGCATGTTCCTGATGAGGTGGCGGATGTGCTTCTGAGGGATCTCCTCCCAGACCTGGACTAAGGCATCTGTCAACTCCTGTGGTGCAACGTGATGTTGGTGGATGGAGTGAGACATGATGTCCCAGATGTGCTCAATTGGATTCAGGTCTGGGGAACAGGCGGGCCAGTCCATAGCATCAATGCCTTCGTCTTGCAGGAACTGCTGACACACTCCGGCCACATGAGGTCTAGCACTGTCTTGCATTAGGAGGAACCCAGGGCCAACCGCATATGGTCTCACAAGGGGTCTGAGGATCTCATCTCGGTACCTAATGGCAGTCAGGCTACCTCTGGCGAGCACATGGAGGGCTGTGCGGCCCCCCAAAGAAATGCCACCCCACACCATTACTGACCCACTGCCAAACCGGTCATGCAGGGGAGGAAGGGGTAAAGTGGCTACTACAAAAGACTGGATATACCCCATTTTGAATACACACTTGCAAAAGATTCTGAGTGCACCTGGCAACAGTTAGTTGCTGCTGGGTAAACAGCCTCTCTAAGTCCTGGAAACCAATATCTTGACCCCGGAGAGAAAAAATAATAAAGATACTGGGGCGCGAATTTTAAATCGCTTTACGCATGTCCTGCATTTCGCAATTCCACGGTGGAAATAAACGTAACCTGTTCGAGTGTTCCACCGCCAGCCCAGGACTTCCCAGCTAGTGCCCAAATGCACACCATTGTCTGCCCGGCACCTGGCTCGGTATAGACGGAAGTAATACAACTCGGGGAGATACAGCCGTCTGGTGTGTTATCCCTGGCTGATCTCTGAAAAATGTATTTAAAAGAAGTAGAGCCTCCACAGCCTCAGCCCTCTCACCATACTTCTAGGGAGAAATCCTGAACCTGACACCCTCCTCTGCTGGAAAAAAACTGGGGCTGTCTTGGGTAGCAAGCAATTTATAAAGCCAAAGGTTAATTGGGGGGAGTTTCTTTAAAAGTTTGGGAGATTGACTGCCTGTTTTTTCCCTCCATGTGATGAAATCCCAGTTGTAAAGCACTGCCTCTAATCTGAAGGGGAAAACAGTATATAATATGAATGAGTACAGTAAATGAGTAAGAGGAAAACTACAGCTAAACACAAACACTGCAGAAATGTAAAAAGAGCCCTGATCCTTAATGGTAAGAAAATGTAAAAACCCCCAAGTCAAAATTTCTAAGTTCTATATCTGTACAGTGCTGCAGCATTCACTGGCGCTATAGTGCAATGTACAGTGTTGGTGTTTGAAGGGGTGTTTGTATACATTTATTGTGTGGGTGTGTTTCTATGTGATGTTTGCGTTTGATTGCAGGGGTGTGTCTGAATGTAATGTTCACTTTTAAATGTGATACATTTGTTTTAAGTATGTGTTTGAGTGAAGGCTGAAGGGGGTGTGTTTGTATATATTTTTTTGTTTGAATGCAGGGGTGTGTTTGTAATATTTGTGTTAGATTGCAGGAGTGTGCTTGTATGTTGTGCTGGTGTTTGACTGCTTGAATGTATGCACATACATACACAGATGCATATAAATACAACGACATATACACATATTGCACCATGACACACAAACATTAATACATGCCCATACCATGATACAGATACACACTGACATAAAAACTAGGGATGCCCATTTGATAGGCCCATTTTCGGAAACAAATTTTGGCAGCCGAAATTTCGGTGCATACCTAATAAAAACACACAACCTGACACACAGATGTGTGTGCACAAACACAGATATATGAAAATCACAGCGAGAAGACACATTTATTTTTTATATCTCCAGCCATCCTCCTGTTATCTTACCTTAGGTGCCAGGCTGTCACTTCCTCCCAGCCGGCTGAAATTACAGGGGCCCAGTTGCGGTCTTAAAGGACTGCGGAACTTGCCCGGGTCCCTGTTGAGCAGTAATGTTTTCCCGGTGCTATGATCATTGCACCGTGAAAATGTTCTGTAGCACCTCTGTGTGCACGTCACACAGTTTGGGAACCACTGGATTAAAGGAACACTATAGGGTCAGGAACACAAACCTGTATTCCTGACCCAATAGTGTTAAAAATCACAATCTAGCCCCCCCCAACCCACTTCTTGCCTCCCTAAATATAATGCAATCTTACTTGTATTGAAGTCCGCAGCTGCTGCCTCTGATCTGCCTGCTTGGCTGACATTTTGTAAGCCAATCACAATGCTTTCCCATAGGATTGGCTGAGACTGTCAAATCATGCAGATCAGAGGAAGAGCCAGCACAAACCAAACAGCATCTTCTAACAGAGATGCACTGAATTGATTAAGCTTTATAGGAAAGGTTAAAGGACCACTATAGTGGCACTATAGTGCCCTGAGGGTGCCCCCACCCTCAGGGACCCCCTCCCGCCCGGCTCTGGAAAGGGGAAAAGGGGTAAAACTTACCTTTTTCCAGTGCTGGGCGGGGAGCTCTCCTCCGATCCTTCTCCTCCCCGTCGGCTGAATGCGCATGCGGGGCAAGAGCTGGGCGCGCATTCAGCCGGTCGCATAGGAAAGCATTATCAATGCTTTCCTATGGACGCTGGCGTCTTCTCACTGTGATTTTCACAGTGAGGATCACGTAAGCGCCTCTAGCGGCTGTCAATGAGACAGCCACTAGAGGCTTTGGGGGAAGGATTAACCCATTTATAAACATAGCAGTTTCTCTGAAACTGCTATGTTTATAAAAAAGAAAATGGGTAAACCCTAGCTGGACCTGGCACCCAGGCCACCTCATTAAGCTGAAGTGGTCTGGGTGCCTAGAGTGGTCCTTTAAGTGTCTCCACACAGAGAGTGGAATAACTGAATATCAGTGTAGCACAGTGTGTCCCAGGAAGCACCTCTAGTAGCCATCTGATGACTGGCAACTGGAAGTATCTCTAGGTAGTAAACACTGCATTTTCTATGAAAAGACATTGTTTACAACAAAAAAGTATTTGTTCTGGCGATTATACTCACCAGAACAAATACAATATGCTGCAATTCTTCCGGTGACTATAGTGTCCCTTTATTATCATCAATGGTGTGCAAAAATGGTGTCAAACCACACTGCGCGTTGGTGACAGATGCAATGAATGTCTACAAGAAGAAACATTATCGCCTCGCCTTCCTACCTCCCTGTATCCTCCTTAGATGTTTTTTTATATCCACTGCCTTCCTCCCCTTACTGGCTTAGAATTTGCGCGTGTATTCTGAGTTGGTAAAACAGTCTAATCAAATGCTTCTCCATAAAAGTATTGAATATGTTATAAAAACAATATTACACAACAGTAGAATAAAGTTGCTGCTTTTGGATTTCCTGAACCCACTGTGATCAAAGGGTTAGTGACATGGTGAGCATACATGTAACAATAATGTGCCATGTCCTGAATGAGTGAGAGCGATATAGAAAGACACGCTAATCACTGACAGCCTGGGTGTGAGGCTGGCTGAGCATCATGGGAACTACAGTCCGCTCTCTGGGTGCAGCACCATGGCTGGACTCGGACTAACATGCCCACTCACAGCTTCTGGTTGAGGCCGGCCTGGCTGCTCGGCTGGAAGTCGCTGACTATAATGCCCAGCTGGCGGATGTTCTCCACAAACTTCTCCAGGTGTTCCTCCAAGCTGTCGAACTTCTCCGCCATGCCGAGCCTGACCGCGAGAGCCGAGCTCCTCCTCAGACAGCACTCACTGCGGGCAGGCCGGGCTCTCCCCCGGGACACGCTGCACCCTCCGGGGATATGTGCTATCTGTGTAAAGAGAGCAACGAGAACCGCTCACAGGAGTCTTTAACTTCCGGGTTCGCGGCTGTTGTCTTTCCGGTTTTCTGGCCCAACCCCCGTCCGTCCCTCCCTCCCTCCCTCCCTCCATGGTCTGCTACACATAGACACAGCGTGCCGCTCCACATAGACACAGCGTGCCGCTCCACATAGACACAGCGGGCCGCTCCACATAGACACAGCGGGCCGCTCCACATAGACACAGCGGGCCGCTCCACATAGACACAGCGGGCCGCTCCACATAGACACAGCGTGCCGCTCCACATAGACACAGCGGGCCGCTCCACATAGACACAGCGGCTGATGTCAGTTATGGGAGGAGCAGTGGATGCCATTAGTTTTGGGAAGGAGAGAGCTTGACCGGGGTACAAATATTAAGGACATTATAGAAGATTCCCTCAGCTGTATATTGATATATGTTTAAAGATTAGGCTATAAAGAACTGAGAAGAAAACCAAGTCATTACTTCTTGCACTTATTAAAGGACCACTATAGGCACCCGGAAGGCACTTCAGCTCATTGAAGTCGTCTGGGTGCCAGGTCCCTCAGGTTTTAACCCTTCACATGTAAACATAGTAGTTTTTTACATTAGGGTTAATCCAGCCTCTAGTGGCTGTCTGATTGACAGGCGCTAGAGGCACTTCCGCGCTTTTCACAGTGAGAAGACACTGACGTCCATAGGGAAGCATTCAGTAATGCTTTCATATGAGCTGCTTGAATGCGCGTGTGGCTCTTGCCGTGCATGTGCATTCGGAGCTGACGTCGGTAGAGGGAGGAGAGTTCCCCAGCGCCAAGGGTGCCCGGCTCTGGAGAAAGGTAAGTGGCTGAAGGGGTTTTAACCCCTTCAGCCCAACGGAAGGGGGGCCCTGATGGTGGAGGGGGACCTAATGACCCTATAGTGCAAGGAAAACGAGTTTGTTTTCCTGGCACTATAGTGCTTCTTTAACCCCTTAAAACCGGAGGGCGTACTATTACACCCTATTCTAAGCAGCTCTAAACGCTGCCGGGAGTAATAGTACGCCCTCACGGTTTTTCTTACTTACCCGGTCGTCGGCGATCGCGGTTGGGGGACTCACCTGGGATCCCCCCCCCCCCCGGCCATGTGAGAGTGAGGTCACATGGCTGGGTTAGCTGGCTGCTGCATTGCCAGCAGGGGGAGTGCCTGTAATGACAGTCCCCTTGCTGGCTAGAAATGAAATAAAATAGTTAAAATCAGTGTAAAAAAAAAAATTATATACTTAGATCATATATATATATATATATATATACACACACATACACTGTCTAGGTGTATTTTACTATTAATATATATATAATTATATATATATATATTAATATCAAATTACACGTAGACAGATACTGATTAAATATATATATAATTGTTATATATATTTATATATAATATAAAAAAATATGTAAATACATTAAAAAATAAATACAAAATAAATAATTAAAAAATATATAGATGTGTGTTATTTCGTTCTAACTGTATTGTGATAATATATATATATTTATATCAAAATACACGTAGAACGAAATAATATATATATCTATATACATAAATATATACGTATATATCACTATATATATACCTATATATAAATAAAAATATTTTTAAAAATTTATATATATATATATATATTTATTAACGTAATATTTTTACATAATTAGGTATTTAAATTAATTACAATTAGCGGGACCTGCCCGACAACCCATGCCGAAAGTATAGGGAATTTAATTTGCTAGCACTATATTTAACCCTATAACTTTCCAAGACACCATAAAACCTGTACATGGGGGGGTACTGTTTTACTCGGGAGACTTCGCTGAACACAAATATTAGTGTTTCAAAACAGTAAAATGTATTACAATGATGATATCGCCAGTAAAAGTGACGTTTTTTGCATTTTTCACACACAAACAGCACTTACACGGACAATATTATTGCTCTTATACTTTTTACTGTTTTGAAAACACAAATATTTGTGTTCAGCGAAGTCTCCCAAATACAACAGTTCCCCTGATGTACAGGTTTTATGGTGTTTTCAAAAGTTACAGCGTCAAATATAAGGCTTGTGTTTTTTTTTTTTTTTTTCACATTAAAATTTGCCAGATTGGTTACGATGCCTTTGAGACGTAACCAATGAAAATTAGAAACGTAACCCCTGAAATTTACCCCTATGATGGCATACCATTTGCAATAGTAGACAACCCAAGGTATTGCAAATGGGGTATGTCCAGTCTTTTTTAGTAGCCACTTAGTCACAAACACTGGCCAAAATTGGTGTTTTTTGCATTTTTTACACACAAATATTAACGCTAACTTTGGCCAGTGTTTGTGACCAAATGGCTTCAAAAAAAAAACTGGACATACCCACTTTCAGTGAAGTGTGTTCTCACATGTACAGTGAGAGCCATGTGGATGCCATGTATAGAACTTGCTCAAGCACAGTTATCTGTGGCAATCTGTGCTCCATCCTGGACCCAAGAATGCAGGGAGACAATATAACCTGCGGCCGCGTAGTTGCCAACATTTAAAAAAAAATTTCAGGGACACTTTGTAGCACAGTTATCAATTACTACAATTTACCACACACACTGCCACAAAGCTCCGCCCACTCTGGCCAAACCACATAATTAATCAGTGCCTACTTATCATAATGCAGATTACAGGGTCTACTCAATAAAGAGAGAATTACAGGGAATTGAGATAGTAATTTTAAATTTAAGGCCAAAGTAGCTGAGTTGGAAAAATTCTCCCATTCAGCTGCACTATTTCAACCTAAAGTTTGAAATTCCCATCTCAATTCCCTGCAACTCTCTCTTTATTGAGTAGAGCTTTATAACACCAAGTTCCCACCAACAGTACCATGCATACTTTGCATGTGATAGATACATTTGCAGCACAGCATCTACACCAGGCAATTACATTTTATCACTTTTAGGTGTGTTGGGTATCAGTGGTGACACTTCAGTACAAGTACAAATATAGGAATTTCTTGTGCAGATGTGCTTCAGTCAAAGAGTTGGGTCTATATCATAGAACATACATTAGTTCACAAACAGATACGCTCAGTGACACACACAAGCTTACTTCAGACAAGCTCCCTGACAAACACATGCTCACTAAATACAAGTTCACTGACACACACAAGCTCACTAAATACGAGCTCACTGACACACACAAGCAGTACCATCTTAAAGGAGCACTATAGTGCCAGGAAGACAAACTCGTTTTCCTGGCACTATATGGTTATTAGGTACCCCCCTCCTTCAGGGCCCCCCTTCAGCCACTTACCTTCTTCCAGCGCCGGGCTCCCTTGGCGCTGGTGACTCCTCCCCCCCGCCAACATCTGCTCTGAATGCGCATGTGCGGCCAGAGCCGTGCGCACACTCAGACCTATGGATGTCCAGCGTCATCTCAGTGTAATTTTCACACTGAGAATAGCGGAACCGCCTCTAGTGGCTGTCAGGGAGAGCCCTTTAACAGCGTTATGGCCCCCGAGCAAAGCAGTGCACTGGGGCGCTTCCTACACAACAACTCACAGGGGAAAAAAATGTAATTTTCGATACAATTAAGCTTATATTTATTGGTATCTCCAACAAATGCAATACGTACATACAATACATGCACACACCGACTTCTGAATACACGCACACACAGACCGCTGTATACACGCACACACAGACCGCTGTATACACGCACACACCCACTGCTGAGAACAAACACAGAGAATGCTGAGTACACACACAGAGACTTGTGAGTACAGACTGCTGAATACACACACACACACACACACAGACAGATTGCTGAATACACACACACTGCAGATAACACAGAGACTGCTGAATACACACACAGACAGACTGCTGAAAACATACAGACTGCTGAATGCACATATGCACTACTGAATACGCACACAGAGACTGCTGAATACATCCAGGCAGCTGAATACACACACTGCAGTGAGGGGTGCAGTGTATGTGTTTGTGTGTAGCGGTGCTGTGTGTGTGAGAGGTGCAGTGTGTGTGTGTGAGGGGTGCAGTGTGTCACTGTTGGGATTGGTACAGGAATGTATTGCGTGTGGAGTGGCAGATGGGGACAAATATATACATATATACATGGGTGTCCTTGATTTTTCAGCTTGTGCTGCTATTTTTCGTTTGTGTGATAATAAACTGCAATACCGCCGCCGGCCAGTAGGCGCTGTGAATGGAGAAAGGCAGGGAAAGGAAGCTACAGCTTATCCCTGCTTCTTTCTCCTGACTGCATCCGCAGGGGAGCAGCACAGAGTGCAGCCAGCAGGCATGGGGGGGGTGGGCAACCTACCGAGCCGGTAAGTGAGGGATGGGGGCAACCTACCGAGCCGGTAAGTGAGGGATGGGGGGGAGCAACCTACAGATCAGGTAAGTGAGGGATGGGGGGGCAGCCTACAGGAAGGTAAAGTAGAAAGAGCAGAAATGAGTAGAAAGGTTCTGCAAGGGGCAGGAGGGATCAGCAAGGAATAGGAAGAGCGAAAAGGGGTAGGAAAAGTTTGCAAGGAGCAGGAGGGTGAAGTAGAAGGAGCAGAAATGAGCAGGAAGTGGCAGCAAGGAGCAGGAGGGGGCAGCAAGGAGCGGGAATGGTCTGGAAGGGGTAGGAAGGGTCTGCAAGGAGCAGGAGGGGTCAGCAAGGAGTAGGAGGAGGCAGCGAGAAGTAGGAAGGGGCAGCAAGGAGCAGGAGGGGTCAGCAAGGAGTAGGAAGGGTATGCAAGGGGCAGAAGGGGTCAGCAAGAAGTAAAAAGGGGCAGCAAGGAGCAGGAGGGGTCAGCAAGGAGCAGGATGAAGCAGGAGGGGTCAGCAAGGAGTAGGAGGGGTCAGCAAGAAGCAGGAGGGGTCTGCAAGGGGCAGGATGGGTCAGCAAGGAGTAGAAAGGGGCAGCAAGGAGCAGAAAGGGTCAGCAATGAGTAGGAAATGAATACAAGGGGCAGGAGGAGGAGGAGGTGCTGTGAATGGAGAAAGGCAGGGAAAGGAAGCTACAGCTTATCCCTGCTTCTTTCTCCTGACTGCATCGGCAGGGGAGCAGCACAGAGTGCAGCCAGCAAGCATTGGGGCAACCTACAGAGCCGGTAAGTGAGGGATGGGGGGAGCAACCTACAGATCAGGTAAGTGAGGGATGGGGGCAGCCTACAGGAAGGTAAAGTAGAAGGAGCAGAAATGAGGGATCAGCAAGGAATAGGAAGAGCGGAAAGGGGTAGGAAAGGTTTGCAAGGAGCAGGAAGGTGAAGTAGAAGGAGCAGGAAGGGTCAGCAAGGAGCAGGAAGGGGTAGCAAGGAGCAGGAAGGGGCAGGAAGGGGCAGCAAGGAGCAGGAGGGGTCAGCAAGGAGCAGGAAGGGTCTGCAAGGAGTAGGAAGGGTCAGCAAGGAGCAGGAAGGGTCAGCAAGGAGTAGGAAGAGTCAGCAAGGAGTAGGAAGGGGCAGGAGGGGTCAGCAAGAAGTAGGAAGGGACAGCAAGGAGCAGGAGGGGTCAGCAAGGAGCAGGAGGGGTCTGCAAGGGGCAGGATGGGTCAGCAAGGAGTAGAAATGGGCAGCAAGGAGCAGGAGGGGTAAGCAAGGAGTATGAAGGGTATACAAGGGGCAGGAGGAGTCAGCAAGGAGCAGGAAGGATCAGAAAGGAGTAGGAAGGGTCTGCAAGGAGCAGAAAGGGTCAGCAAGAAGCAGGAGGGGTCATCAAGGAGCAGGAAGGGTCTGCAAGGGGCAGGAAGGGTCTGCAAGTAGTAGGAAGGGGCAGCAAGGAGCAGGAGGGGTCAGAAAGGAGTAGGAAGGGTCTGCAAGGGGTAGTAGGTGTCAATATTGTAGCTGATATTTGTAATACATTGGGCTGGCTGGAGTCAGGGCCGGACTGGCCCACTGGGATACCGGGAAATTCCCCGGTGGGCCGCGGCACCTGGGACTGGGCTGACAGCCCTAATCATTGCTCAGGCTCCTGTAATCCCTCACACATGGCCGGCCAGGATCATAAAAAAATAAATAATACTGCGGCTGGGGCGGAGCTTGTGTGTGGCGGGGCTTAGCGTGCGGCAGGGGCCCTGGTAACTTCCCCAACAACCAGCCTCCAGGAGCTCCAAGGGATGTGGAGATAAGAAGCAGGTCAGTGTGTGACTGCCAGTGTGTGTGTGTGACTGTCTGTGTGTGTGACTGTCTGCCTGTGTGTGTGACTGTCTGCCTGTGTATGTGAGTGTGGCTGTCTGCCTGTGTGTGAGTGTGTGGCTGTCTGCCTATGTGTGTGTGACTGTCTGCCCATGTGTGTCTGTCTGCCCATGTGTGTGACTGTCTGTCTGTGTGTGTGACTGTCTGCCTGTGTGTGACTGTCTGCCTGCCTGTGTGTGACTGTGTGTAAGTGTGTGGCTGTCTGCCTGTGTGTGTGTGTGTGTGTGTGACTGTCTGCCTGTGAGTGTGTAACTGTCTGCCTGTGTGTGTGTGTGTGTGTGAGTGAGTGTGTGGCCATCTGCCTGTGTATGTGGCTGTCTGCCTGTGTGTTTGACTGTCTGCCTGTGTGTGTGTGTGTCTGTCTGAGTGTGTGTGGCTGTCTGTCTGTCTCTGTATGTGTGGATGTTTGCCTCAGTGTCAGTGACTGTCTGCCTCTGTGTGTGTGGATGTCTTTGTGTGTGTGCATCTGCTAGTGAGTGAGCGAGCGAGCTTCTGTGTGTGTGTGTGTGTATGTGTGTGTGCACATCTGCTAGTGAGGGAGCCTCTGTGTGTGTGCGCCTGCTAGTCAGTTTGTGTGTGTGTGTGTGCCTGCTAGTGAGAGAGCTTGTATGTGTGTCAGTGAGCTTGTCTGTAGGGATCATATGTGTGTGTGCGTGTTAGTGAGCTTGTCTGTAAGGAGCATGGGTGTTTCGGAGCCTGTCTGTGGTGAGCATGTGTGTACAGTGAGCTCGTCTATAGTAAGCATGTGTGTGATCGTGAGCTTGTCTGTAGTGACCATATGTGTGTCAGTGAGCTTGTCTGTAGTGAGCATGTGTGTGTCAGTGAGCTTGTCTGTAGTGAATCTGTGTGTTAGTGAGCTCTTCTGTAGGGAGCATGTGTGTGTCAGTGGGCTTGTCTGTAGGGAGAGTGTGTGCGCATCAGTGAGCTTGTCTGTAGTGAGCGTGTGTGTATTAGAGTTTGTCTGTACTAAATTTGTGTGTGTGCCAGTAACCTTGTCTGTGTGTGTCATTGAGATTGTCTGTCAATGAGCCTATTTGTGTGCAGCAGTAAGATGTCTGTGTCTGCGTGTGAGTATGCTTTACTGTATAATTTAATTACCCTGAAAGAACTAATATTTTGAATTAGAAGAAATGTATCAATAGTATATATATACATATATATATATATATATATATATATATATATATATATACACAAAGCTGTTGTACCTTGCACTCAGGCTTCAAAGTTGTGTGACCGGGTGCATCACCAGGGCTCCAGTATCCAGGCAATTGAAATAGTTGGCTGCACTCTCAGATTTCCTTAAAACGTAACTTTTATTGAAATATTTAAGAGAAGATAGACGTTTCAGTCCCTTTTGTGGACTTTCATCATGATCCTGATGAAAGTCCACAAGAGGGACTGAAACGTTGATCTTCTCTTAAATATTTCAACAAAAGTTAAGTTTTAAGGAAATCCGAGAGTGCAGCCAACTATTTCAATTGTCCATATATATATATATATATATATCACCCTACATAGCACAATGACTTATGGGGCTGGCATGGATTTTTTTCCAGGGCTGCTTCGTATCCCCAGTCTGGCCCTGGCTGGAGTACCTTGATTTGTTTAAAGTCTTCAAGGATACATTCCCTATACCACTAGGTGATACAAACACAAAGTAAGATGGAAAGACAGGGGTGAGTACACCTTTTTGCCCATCACACAGCAGAGGATGGATGTGGAAGTCTATGGATAGACTGGCACACCAACTCTGGTTGTGGGTGAGTGGCATGGACTGACAATGTGGAATGCCCCCTCCCCTCCACCTGGAATTATTTACACTTTCCCAAAGTATGGGGGTGTAGAGGTTAGAAGAAGGTGGTCATGTGACTATACAACGGCTCTGATTTTTAATTCCTAACCCTCTGTTTTGGAAGGACCAACCTTTCCCTCTATGCCACAGCCCACTGGGTAGGGCAGAAAGTAGGTAGTCAAAATGGCTGCTTACTCA